ACTCACATATGATAGTCCACTAGAGTGCCTGGAGCAATTGCACCAGGGTCCGCAAGCAAGTGATGCATACACACGTGTACCGGCTGATTTCGCAAATACTTTCCGCTTCACTTGTCAGGTGTTGAAGGAGTGTTGCAGACGGATCCTCCGGTGTTGGCTGTCGATGTTCGCCTCAAACAGGTTCACCGCACACCGTCGACTTACGATTTGCTGCTGGCGGAACAATACGATACTGGACTAATTCACGTATGGGAATTCCCAAGCTCTGAGCGCAGCTCTGCTTGCACCATAACATCAGATGGTAATATTCAACAGCTTTCTGGGGATTCGGTCGCGGTAGTACGACCGTTTCGTGGACACGTCAAGCTGCGGTTGTTGGAGCACATTGAAAGTAGGGTTATCTATCTTCTTCTTCCACCGACTATATTATGGTTGTTTTTTGAAGATTTCATATCGATCGATCTTGAAACTCCTGCGCACTGCTAAGTACTTTGAATTCCGACTCGGTTTATGATGAAGTACTTCTCAAAGGTACCCACAGACATCAACACTTATTGACCTTATTCCGTGGTCTCTACAGTACTGGGCCTAGTGAATGCGGTGTAGTAATAATGTCGCGTGCAGGGGTTAGCCAATCGTTCTTACCGATCATGATTCTGTTTTAACCTTCACAATAACGCGATCCTACACTGGGTTAGGTGTGTCTAGTGAGGAATCCTTTTGAGCAGTAGAGTATGTATTGTTGCCGGCTACCTCGCATGTCTTCGAATCAGGTACTGGGGGTTCAGCATTGAACCTAGGGCTCCGGATTACTATTGCCTAGCAGCACTCGAGATTTGTCTATCAGTGTAAGTCCCTGGCCGACTGGTGTGCGATTCACCTAGCACCATCACTTCTTATTTCTATGACAACCGAGCAATATTAGTCGCAGCAACTTCGCCTATGTAACTCAAAATTCAGAGTTTTTTCCCTAATCATGAAGTGCATCTTATGGTCGAAATCGTTTATGCAGTCCTCCATTCGGGTTCTTCCTATCTTCTTGGTAGTCTCTGCTGAGTGCAAGTACACTGCAAGTGCAATTGTCTCGCATCTGATCTCCCTTCCTCAAGCCGGACTGCACCAGGGACTGGTGACAGAAGTCAGTACGATATGGCAAAGTATGTTATTATCGTTTATTTTCGAAGAGCATGGTCACAAAAATATTAATTAAATCCAGCCGGCAGATGTAGAGGGATGTACAGGAGAACATTTGATAAAAGGAGGAAAACGTCCCATTCGAAGGCGTGCCACCAACACTTCCAGTCGGACAAGATGGCTCGTAACATGTGTAAGAATGTTCAATATGGAAACACAAATGCAAAGATTAGCAACTGAAGAAAGGACAAGTAATACTGAATGATCTTCAAGCCATAGCAAGCGCTAGCTAGTTACTGACTGTGACCTTGGAAAGTTCCAGTCCAATAACAGCCTTGGAGGATTTAATGAAGTAGAAGTAGTAGAAGTATGAAATGACCATCGGTTGGTGGACCAAAAATCCAACATCACAATCGATTGCACGTGGGGCCGAGATGATATCGAAGGAACAATAATCGGCATCATACTTCTGCCTTTTCTCATTCCACACGGTCACCCTGTGCCTGTCCGAGACCATGCTTTCGTCCATCACATTTCCTCGGCGCTTCCGAACAGAGATGAAAGACGTCAACCGTAGATGCTTTCAACTACTTGAATACGGTGTGTTCCAGGCGACATAGACGTCTCGAAAGTTTCCTAGCAACTCGATTATGAGAAGCACATCAACGTGATCTAGTAGGACTGCAGAGTATGCACATAACTCTCCGGTTGGCTATAGTTTCCACGGCAAGATCGTCTGACCAGCATGACCAGGCGGGGCACTTCCAACTCTCGTTTACACCGGCCACACCGGAGCTTGATGCCTCGGATAAATATCCGACGAAACACTCGTTCCGAAAACACAAGCCATCGATCCGATAGCTGCGAAGCGATTTACGGTGGCTGTTGGACCCAGAGGATTGATGAGTTTATTGGCGACTGAGACCGCTGTCACCCGCTGTTTATTGCCCCCACAAATAACCATTGTTTTCGTCTTTCTGACGTTGACCCCATACTAGCTCTTCCCAACTCGAACACAGCAGCTTCAAGCTTCTCTTTAAGACGGGCATGAATTTCTGCACGCGCGACCCAATCGTCAGCCAAGGCGAAACCACTCACTGAGGCGTCATGTGACTCGTGATTTAGTTGCGGCATCGACAATCCAAGAACTTCATCCATTGCCATGACGAACAATAGTAGGGAAAGTGGATCTCNCTCTGTGACATGAACCTCGGAAATGGGGAAAGTTGTTACAGCATCCTCATAGAACTGTGCAATGTATCGAACTGCGAACGCTTCAGCCGATCTGACAATGGTGTCATGCGAAACCGAATCAAACGCTTTCGATATCCACAAACTGCAAGCTGAGATTAGGAGTCGCCGGTGAGTGACGAGGCAGGACGTGTAACAGCGATGGAGACTCTAAACAACCATCTTGGTGTAGAAATGCGAACTGGAGTGAGGGCAGTTGCAATATGCGGCTTCAGCGATCAGCAAGAATGAATGGAACACAGATGGGTTTCAGATGATCCATCGAAGTCGGATATGGGACCTTCGCAACTAAGGTGTACGAACACGACACGGATGCGGCTGACAACCTCCAGATAACAAAAGTAACTTGAAATACCTGGCGAGGGCGTTGGCATTGAACCGGCTAAGCATCCTGGATGTGAGCTTGTCCATATCTGTGGACGAATTGCCAATTAAATGGATCGTACGGCTGACTTCCTCCCTATAAGTGGCTCGATCAAAATCCGATCGGATGATAACACTGCGCGACTTGGCCAGCTATCTACGTGTTTCGGTGCACAGAGCACCTGTCTTCAATACTGCTCGGCGTCCAGAGGTAGGCTATATTTACCTTTATAGATCCTTCCACACATAATCTGGTTTTGACGCTGATAGCTGATAGACAAAGGAAATATTGTTCCAGTCGGCGCGGGTTGCGTGTCACAAGACGGATATAGATTGTTTGCTAGGCCCAAGAATGATTGTGACTCTTATTGGGACTAGCTAGGAGTGAGCTGGCTCAGTGGTTAGAGCGCGAATTTACTGACCGGAAGGTCCGTGGTTTGAACCCGACCTCCGCCTCTCGGCGCCACAGCGTCCGATAATGCATTTTATACTATACTCTGCTTCACTATGCTGTGCTGCTCTGTGTTACAGTACTGGAGCTTATGAAAATACTCATCTTCCGTCGCCTGGAAAAATCTCAACGCTGGACCGAAGGCGATTATTAGCTATAAAATCGTCCGTTCTGTGGTATTTGTATTAGTTGGCTTCCCTTCACCTTGTACCTGAGTCTTGTTTCCGTATGTTTCACAGGTTGTCGAGTTTTCATCATCGCTGGGAAACGTGTCAATGACACATAAGACGGACTCATTACAGGTAACTTATCTTTTTTGCTGTCCGTATGAGCTGACTTTGTATTGTGCTGTTTGCAGACTAGTCTTATGCTGTTTATTCAGCAAATTTGTAACACTCCTTGATAACTCGTCACATAATTTGGTCCGCTTGAGGCGATGAGTGATGTAGCCGAGTTTCAATGGCTGTGCATATTGGAATACAATGTGGAGGAGTTTGTAGTCTTGTGGACCGAAATAACATCACACAAGCCGACTAAAATCCACTTAGCCTTCCCAAACTCCATAATCCCAGAGCTTGCTAACCCTCACAGACCAACAAAATTTGTGGACGACGCGAGAGGAATATTCAGCTAAACCGCCTTAAACCGGAATAAGTTCCTACCACCCCTCAGTCTTAAGTGTTAATCACCCAAATCAACCAATAACACATGCTGACTAACGTTCACCGCTGATTAAGTCTGTTGTTTGAGAGGGATCTCGTCGATTGTTTTTTCGTCTGCCGTAAAACCCTCAGTCTGATAAGTTGCCCGACGGTAACCTGCCCGATGGTAACCTGCCTTAAGTTTATCGATCGTTTACCAAGCCCTCCAGAAGATGACTTCTCGATTGGTTTCGGATATTTTTCAGTTAATTGAATCATAGTTTAATCCGTTTATCTTTACTTACTTTTTTGATGTGAGAAACAGACACTACGAGCGGATTTTTCGTAGTAATTGGAGCTTTCATAAGGTGGTGCCAATGAACCTATAGCATTGAAGGAGTGTGAATGCGATAACCTGGCCATATACTGTGACCTCTAAGTGACTTTCTACTGAAAACAATTCCTCATTCTGTCCAATCTGCATTTAACGCCTATCCTACTGCTGTTTCGTCCGCGACTGGTTTGATGAGGACATGTCACCACATCGTCTGTAGATGTGATTCGAGAAAAATGACTGAATGTCCCCCTGAATGCGGCATTGGCACCTATTACTGATAACCGTTTACTGAACACTGAATTACTCAACTCTTTCTCCACGTCGCTCCGTTTTTGTGTTCTAGCACTAGCTCTGGCAGTATTTTCACCCACATGCGAATTCTGTCTGATGTGTACAACCGTTTTTTTTTACAGTCATGACCTTTATGTTAGTTCCATCAAACGTGGCGTCCGTGCTGTTGTGATACAATCTATGACCTTCTGAAGCTCACTAGTTGTATGCCAACCTCCATTATTTGTACATCCAACTTGGTTAATAAATTGTTTTGTTGCAAAGTTTGTCATTTGTTTCTAGACTGTGTGCGACTGCTGCCACAATTAACCCAATGCCCTTCTCCATTCTCTGTTACCCTAATCCAGATCCCTGCTAGAAGTTATGGATGTTCACGGTAGGTTGGGGGCCAATTGTGGGCCAGTTTCCAAGCTCTATGTACAAGAGACAGCATGTCAATGTTATGGCTTCGACTTTTTCAACCCCGGCTTTGAGCATGAAGGTCAATTCAGGTGGCCTTTTTTACGCTACTGGCAAATTATCAGTAGCACGCTTACAAAATAATGAAAACCCGTTGGGCGACCACACAACCGAGGTTGAAATGCGGGTACTCTGTTTTTAACTCCGTCCATATTTTAGCTGAAGTGAGCTCGAGATCCGTATCTGCAGACTCCACATCAAGGAGGCACACAAAGATGCTCATCGGAAGGGAGAGCTCTTCGTCAGAAGCTACCACAGTTGACAGAGTACATCCGTGTAGGGTCGAGATGATGACAGCTGGTCTTTTGGACAGTTTTTTCATTATTTATCATACTTGAAAATGTCTAAGAACCAAATCCAATCCTTGAATGAACGAACTGCATACGATTGCGCAATGGTAAAGATTCGCCAGGGTTATCCGTGCACCACCGGCGTACATGTGTGAAAATCGTTCAGTTGTTGCACCCTTTCGATGCCAGTCGCCATGCCACCAGAAGGAACCACGAAGGCTGAGATACTGTCAGGTCGTCCGTGAACAGGGGAGTCGTGAGGCGGAGATCGGATTCGAACCACGGACCTTCCGATGAGCGAATTTGCGCTCTAACCACAGTCATCTTGCTTTGACACGAACAACCGCGAATGATCAGGTTTTGTATTGCCATCCCGGAAGAGCACATATCAGGTGGGCTTGGTTGCTGACTCAGTTGTACTTTGACGTGTGCGACAGATCTAGCTGTCAAGGATGAGTTCCAAGAGCAGTTGCCAACTAACGTTCAACGAGATATCGAGGTGAGATTTCGTGGTAAGTAGTGGGTAACTAGAATGCTTGTGTTTGTAGACCAGCAGATGGCATGCTTGATACGTCTGACCGGCACTGCGGGGACGGGGAATGGGTCATCGATTTCTCTAGCATTACACGTTTTCATGGCTCATGGTAACATTGGCGTTGTAATTGGCCGACGGGAACTCACCTTAGCAGCTAATTTAAATTTTCGTGTTTGCTCGGCAAACTTTCTCAGTAAGGGTTTGTAAGTCATGTGAAGGCATCATCATCAACATCAGCTGTAAGAACTACGTACTTTACAGCGGTTATAGCTGCCACAGTTCCGTTTACCGATGATTTGGACAGGTGGGGTAGGTTTCTGCGCATTGGGGCGGTAGCTGATACAATTGGTGCGTAAATACAGGGTTTGCAGTGGACGTTTTATTGGGTAGATTGGGATGGGAGCTATACATTGAAGACAATAGCTTGGATGCACGAGCACCGTTGATGGTGTAGCTGGGCTATTTCGGCACTTCATTCCCACAGGCATTAGGGGCTGTGGGATCCTCTAGCCCGTCCTTTCTTGGGGAGACCAGCATCGCTGCCTCAATGAATATGGACATACTGGTTGCCTGGGGGAAACGCATTACTACTTTCACAGTCTTATCGCAGAGGACAGTACGACTTTACCCCCAGACCACCTTGTAGAATGATTAATTACAGTACGGCATCTCGCTGCTATTGGCTTGACTGGCATGGTTGCACCTTGTCGAGCGGAGTTCCAGCCAGTGTAGCCCGCTGGGACGTTGAAGCACTCAAGCCCGAGCACTACCTCCATGTGTCAACTTCAGTTCGGTGTTGGCAGCTTTTGGTCGCTGAAGGCACTAAAAGCGAAAAGAATGATTACTCCCAGTACGGCATCTCGCTGCTATTGGCTTGACTGGCATGGTTGCACCTTGTCGAGCGGAGTTCCAGCCAGTGTAGCCCGCTGGGACGTTGAAGCACTCAAGCCCGAGCACTACCTCCATGTGTCAACTTCAGTTCGGTGTTGGCAGCTTTTGGTCGCTGAAGGCACTAAAAGCGAAAATATGATAGACATAACATGTGAGTTGGGCCCAAACCTCACCCCGCTGAAGCACATCGGAATCGCACCTCGATCTGTGTTAAATCCAACTGATATTTGCATGTTCTTTGATAGCTAGGTTAGCCGTTGGCAGCTGCAGTCCATCAGACTGTCATCTGAATTCTGTAAACTACCATTAACCGGTGTTTAGAACTTCAGTATTAAAAGCGGCGGTATTACGATAAGAAAGCAAAACGCCCACCCAACACCATTTACCTTTCGACACTACAGCAAATTGCTACACAATTGGTTACATCTCGTACGGACTGAGCATGTTTTCAGAAGTAGAGTATGTTTCTAACTTCAGAGATTTTGCCCGTTTTTTTTCACCACGTATACACAAACTCTTGCCGACTCAAGCCTTCTTGACCGAATGCTTTGACACTTATCATCATCAGACGGAGCTTAACCATAGTACACTGGCTCGCACATCTTCAAACCCGCTAAGCCTTTCAGTGTAACATTAGCGGTCTTCCATATCTGGTTGGTCAGTACGTAGAAGCGTGACTAACACGGCATCTTGGTCCTACCGGCCGGAACGTGAGTGGCGAATCTTGTTTAAAACAGACCATGATCGCTTCTTTGCGGTCGGGTCTTCAAGCCGTAACCGTTTTTTCGTCTGAGTTTCGGTTCCTTGGCTATACTACAGTCCGCATAGAGCCACAGAATTCACAACTACAAGTAAGTTGACGCCGCCCTGGCCATTGCATGGTGACATCAACAGCGCGGCCTTACTTGCTGCACTGACAGGGCAAGGTTGCAGTAAGCTACCGCTGACGTCTCTCTTCTCACCCTTTCGTGAATTCACTACTCTTTCTTGACGCTTTACATGGTCCTTGTAGACCCGTACATAAGGAACGGCAGCTCTTTTCGCCCTGCTTCTTTCCTTACCTCGTCTCTCAGCCATTCCAGCCGAAAAATTACGCTGTGAAACAGCATGGACTCCATACTGCTCCACCCCACACAATGGATCCGTTTTTTGTGGTTATCTGAGAAACGAATCCAAGGTCCCGGCGCGATTGTTGGATCGACCCTCCGATCGGTCTGTTCTCGGTCCAAGTTGCACAACTCCGGTAATTCGGGAACCGTTGCATCTGGTTTTGTCACAGGAGGCATTGTTTTGGGTTGTTGAGCGGGCTCGGTGTCTAAGGCACAAAACGATGAACCGGAAGGTCGAAATGGACCAGGGTTTACCAATCGCTCCTGTGTGTAGTCCGATAACTCGGCAGTAGTTCGGTCCTCGGGGTTTCTTCGGGTTGCGCAGTAGCTGTACACCGGCTACGCCTGATTGACTGTCTTTATTTTCATTGTTTATTGGGCATAGTCTAATTTGGACTAAACGTTCACTGACGGCGAAAGAAGCCTAACGCTGATTTGCTTCCCAAATGTAGCTAACTAAAGCTGACTTGAAATTGCCTATGGGTGAAAAATCAGTGCCAAATACACGATTGCACAGCCATAGCCATCACTCGAAAATAAAACACGAAGCAATTTCAGTTTTGTATCACCCACTTGCTGTTGGCCTGGCTGTATACCACGAGCAAACCCATATTTTGTGGCTAAGGCACCGAGGCTGTCTCCAGTTCATTAGGATCTGCACAATTGCTACCTTATTCAGCGCTCTTTTCCTGTTTGTGGGTGAATCTCCTTCCGAATGATTTCCAGCACTTTTCGATGGGCGCCTAAATAGTTTAGTCGTTGTTAAGTTCTACTTCCTTTCATGTTTGTCTGAAACATTCACTCATGTACCAATGCTTGGGTGTTGATCAATCGGTATTAATGCCATTTCAAGAACTCGGTTTTGGAGTGCTGAGCAGTCAGGAATGAACTGTAATGGCGGAATAATTTTTTTCATGTATCGTGTTGTCTCACAAGATCGGTCAACAAACAACTTCAACCACGTTGAATGGCATTTAACCGAAATTTTCTCTCTTCGATGGTTTAGTTCTGCCAGTGATTCCGTTCGAATAGGCTTGTCTTAGCCTTCTTGGAGCACTGGGTGCACCGCTTTCTTCATTGATCACTTAGTCTCTGACTATGAGGGCTATAACGACGTAATCCAAACCTTAAGTCCTTTCGGCGCTGATTTATGTGCAGATTTTGTCATTCAAAATTTGAAAACCATGTGCCATGATGAGAGTACGTAGGCTTCACAGTCTGCCAAAACTTTGTTTGAACACGCCTCAGTGTTTTCGGAGTGGTGTGTTGGTGTAAATATTACGCAGTGCATTTCAACTTTACTGAATTGCAAAATCCAACTATAGTGTACAATTCGTGGTTTGACACATGCACACAAAATGCCGCTGTTACTAGGGTAAACTGTACGCTTGCGATCAGTTCGCATACTGACCCTTGATGAAATATCTCTCGAGTGTTGCATTCTAAGGCTATATTTTGCTGTCCTGATTGTTCATAAATGCAGCTTTCTGGGATAGTTGGTTTTCTGTGGAGCTGCCAGAAAGCAGTATCCCCAAGGAAGAACCATTTTTCTCTTACGCTGTTTCCTGGGATGTAGGTTGTCCTACATCACATTTATGTACACAAACCGATTACTGACAATTGTTCCCTCTCTTCTCGTAATCCAGCACACAATGTTCAGTGCCCTTTTGGTACGTATTCCAAAGCTGTTCACCGGCATCGGATTGGGTATCTTCATAGTTTCCCTGTTGTACATCCACCTGAGAAGTAAACTTCCAGCGGTTCTGGAATATTCCTTCGTCTATGGGAAATGGGAACCCCGTTCAGTTCCTGGGTTGGAAGTCCTTCGTGTTCCTAAAAGGTGCGGTTCTAATTTATACTACTACTCCGACACCTAAATGTATGAAACGTTACGTGTGAAATGCCAGATATCACTTTTCCCGATCAGTCGGTTTCTCCCTTTATGGTTCAGCTAAGTAAGTTTTTGGAACTGTACTCCACTCCAAGAGCAGCCTATTCTGTACTAGACAAAACCGTTCGCCAATTTGAAACGACTCATCTTGTGCCACATCTTTCCAGTATGAATCTTTCCAGTCTGTCTCATCTGGTACTCTTTTTGAGTGACTACTTACTACATCTCGAACGATGCAACATACGTAGGTTTTTCTACCCTCGAACTTCAGCTTCTCAACCACAAACCATGTATCAAATATACATCTGTTCCAGCTGCCACAGTTTCGCTCACTGTAAAGCGCTAAACCCCGGGATGTAGTTCCAAGCATTGAGGACGATGTTCTGGTCAGTTAGTTGATGGTGCGTCAGTTTAATGTTTTTGAGGAAAACTTTAAACGGAGTGTGTGATCGTTAAAGACTATAGTTTTACTGCGGGAGTGCCAATGACCGCGTGATCAGTCATGAAGAGATTGGACCTTATCGTATTGTGTCGGTGTGTATGCCTCTGCGGCTTACGGGCTATATTGGGGGCTTCCTTGCAGCACTCGCATGCCAGGTTCTTCAATGGTTAGCGTTCTGACGAACATAGTCTCCTGGAACACTAGGCAGGGGCTGGATAATGTGCAGTGACTTGTCTCGTGAAAATGCATTTCCACTGAACACCACTGCCTTGTGGTCAGACTTTCGAACCAAAGCTTTTGAATGAGGATCTTAATCGTCCTTTTTAGGTGTGAGTTCCCTGGCAATAGTCCGGCTCAGGTACAGCCATGATACAAATAACCATACTCTCATGCCACATCTGTCGTCATCGAATACTTCAAACAACGATTCTCGCGGCCTTCAGCTGCCACTCATCTGAAGTCTACAGATGAAGTATTAGCCTGGACGGTGATCTGGAACCCTCTTTGGCCACGAAGATTTATGATTGCTTGTGTTCTCTCAAGCGCCACCAAGCTCCTGATCCGGATGAGCTTCCGTTCGCATTTTTAACGATGAGGATGACGTCCTCAATCATTGTGTATCTGGTCCACTTGCCTGCATTTGGGAAAAGGAGACTATCCAAGAAAACTGGAAGAAATCATTTATAGTGCCCATTTACAAAAGGGGGGTCGTAGTGGGTGCGGCAACCACGCGGATGAGCTTGAGCTCCGTCGTAAGGAGCCTGTTGGCTTCATGTAATGTCGGTCTCCTTATGGTGACTCGTGAACCACTGACTCGAGAGCAGCAAGCGAGATTCCGGCCCGGTAGGTTTTGTGTTTATCACATCTCCGCTCTCCGTCAGGTGCCTTGGAAGTTTGTGGACATACTCATATATTTGTATTCTCAGACTTCCCGACGAGTGAGAGTATGCGAAGAACTCCTCGAAGACTACTGTACGCAAGGCGACGTTTTCGTCAGAGGTGTCTACTTTTTTCATTCCTATTCAATTTCTTGATCGATGTGGTGGTGAGATGAACGCTGGATTGTCTTCAAAGCCTTGGTGTTCAAATTGCTTCTGACGGAAACTTCACCGATCTGTAAAATTCGAAAGATATAGTCTTCATCTTCGAAGAGGAGATGTTGCTGTTTCCGTACCCAATTCAGGGTAGCAGGCGCAGAAATATGGCAATCCTTGACCTAGATGAGAAGGGTATGAAAGGTACTACGAAACCCTCGGTTGCTGTCGGTGCTGGTTGCCTTTCAGGATGGGGACCGCTTGATCTACACTACGCGCGCCGCAAGATGTGGCTGCTAATTGATGTCCTTGGCGTTCTTGTCATCAGTTCCTATCCAGGTTGCCTGAATGAGTGTCTGTAGATGTAGGCATGTTGGAATGGTTGTTGCAAAGTAGCACCATGTCCCTTTTCCGCTCACTTTTACTCTTTTTCACAATAAGATCTCCAAATAAATCATGGTTGTATGGAAGCGAAGCATGAGTGTTGAACACTGATGTAATGCTCTCGATTATTATTGTGATGATGATGATGACCACATGATTGGGTGATGTATTCCATCATCACTAACCATCAATGAATTGAGTGTAAGGTTCATCACCTAAGGAGGCGTTAGTCATCATCCTGACTGATGGTACTGGTCATTGCTTTATTAATTCGTGGGGGATGGTGTGTCTATCGTTTCTACGCAGCACAGGGTTGAGTAAACTGAGCAGTGCATGGTGTACCGTTCACTGAAATGCGAGGTGGGTGACCAAACGAGCGTAATCGGTGGAGCATGAGTAGCGGATAGTTCCCGTTTCCCGAGGCCATCTGGTATACCTCAACGTTGCTTATCCGGGGTACTTACCGGACTTGTCCACTGCTTCGGAGACACCTCTGGCAGCTTTCGTGCCTTGTTACTTTAGGCGAGTGGTATCACCGATAGCTGGCTAATGTCGACGTTCCATTCAGTTCCGTTGGGCTCTTCCAAAAGTTATGTTGACGGATGCCAGGTTGACTGTTTTCAAGGTCTGTAGTCCGTCGCTCGAGAGACAACTATGCGACGACATTGCCGCTCCACCTTTTGGCAAACTGCTATGTTGACACCTGCCTTTCTGTGGCCATTTGACCGAATCGGCTGAAATACAGCGTGGCTGTTGCTTACAACTAAGGCTTTTTCCGTCTCATGCACCTCTGCAA